TTTGGAATGGAATGTCCCCACCTTCCCACACCAGTATAACTTCCCTGGGCCAGATCACCTTGTCTGAGTGAGGTTTGAAATTCTCACATTTGGGGGGAAAGTTTACTCCCCATTCGCTTTGCCAACCTTACATTCCCTCCCTTTGGGCTGTGTCCCTAACATTATGGCCTTCATTCTGTCCCCATGACATAATCACATCTCTCCCTTCTGCTGCCTCAGAACCTCTGGTGTCATCTCCCCGTTCTGAGAAAGCTTGGAGTTACTCATCTCTAAATTTGGGGTTGTTTAGAGCTCCCATGTTGTGTTGGTCTTTCCCCTGGGGCTGGAGGTGGGGGAGGTGTGGGCCACAAGGTCATAGCCCCTCCTCCTCCTCCTGTGTTGCAGCTGGGTATTCTGTCCTGGGCTGGAATCATCCAGGCTTTGCTGGAAGCACGGTGAGACACTCTCTGAAATCCCTTTCTTTTCCTGAATTTATGGTTATGGTCTGTCTCCCTCTGGTCAGCCACTGGAATTAGGAAAAGGGGTGTATATTTCTCTGGTGGCTCTCACTCATCTGTCACCTGGGTGCCAAGGACAGGGAACCATGACGCCACCCCACAGTGAGAAGTGGCATTTCTGGAGAGTGCGGGTCCTCTCGCCACCCTTTTCTTCTGCACCCTCTGTCTCTTGTAGGGTAGCTCTGTGCTGGAAGCGTGCAAGTGGCCCATGAACCAGCCTCTGGTGCTAACCCACTCCTGAGTTTGCCCTTCTTCCTGCAGGGGGTGCCATTTCCTCAGAATGAGGCCAATGCCATGGATGTGGTGGTCCAGTTTGCCATCCACCGCCTGGGCTTCCAGCCCCAGGACATCATCATCTATGCCTGGTCCATCGGTGGCTTCACTGGTACCAGCCTACTCCCCTCCCCGGGCAAATTATGCCACCCCCACCCCCCTCAAAGAGCAGTAGGGAAATGCCCTGAGAGCCCAGCAGTGGGGTAGAGGCTTAAGGGAGGAGAGGATGGAGGAGGGATATCTGCGTGTGTCTGGAAGATGGTATCCTATTTGTATACGTTCACATTTCCTTCTACCTTATGCCCATTATGAAAAGAAGCAGACCAGGGTCCTGGAGGGGGGAGATCAGGGAAGTGAAGTTTTCCTCTGCACGTGGTCTTCGATGCACTTTGATATTCTCTCTCCGTCTTCTCCATACAGTGCCCTGGCCAAGTGAAGTGAGGGTTTAAGGGGGACCTGGGGCTAACCTAGTAGAGATGATGGTGTCAGCCTGTAGGGTCAATGGGACAAAGGTGGGGTGGTGGGCAGGAGCCCCTCAGTCCTCACCTTTCTTCCTTGTTCTGGTACCAGCCACATGGGCAGCCATGTCCTACCCAGACATTAGTGCTGTGATCCTGGATGCCTCCTTTGATGACTTGGTGCCCTTGGCCTTGAAGGTTATGCCAGATAGCTGGAGTGAGTGCAGCTCCCAGGCCTGCCTTTCCAGGGAAGGGGTGGGCTGGAACTGGGAACTATTCTAACTGGAGATGGTTCCTTTTTATGTAGGTGGGGAGTGGGTCACCCAACGGGATGAAAAGCAGGAGGGCTCCCCTGTCTGGGGCCTTAGTTTTCTTTGTGAACAGTGGGGAACTATATGTTGTGCAAGGGCTTTGTCTCTGCCATCCCGTCACTCTGATCCCACTCTAGGGGGCCTTGTGACCAGGACCGTGAGGCAGCATCTCAATCTGAACAATGCAGAACAGCTGTGCAGGTGAGGGCAGGCCAGTAACCGGCGTGTAACTCCCTTCCCCACTTCCCCACTTCCCCACTGTACAGGCTTTGCTGGGTATTCAAGCAGATCTCCCAGTAAGGCCAGAATGTGGGCCATGCCTGTTCTTAAATATTTTCTCACCCCTGAGTGAAGGGCTAGCCTGTGGGGCCCTGCTATAGTAGGGGGTTAGGCTGCAGCCAGTGCAAGGGTGGGGTGGCCACTTGTCCCCTCTCCCTCTGAGCACCACACTGTCCTCTGAAGGTACCAGGGCCCTGTGTTGCTGATCCGCAGAACCAAGGATGAGATCATCACCACCACGTGAGTGCCTGGGAGCCTCTGCCCTCCTAGATCCCAGATGTAGCTAGGAAGTTGCCCTTCCCACCTCTGCCCACCAGAAACCTAGGTATCCAGACCCTTCCTCCCCAACCTCCAGCCCCTCCAGTGTACACTGTTCTCACCCCCAGGGTTCCTGAGGACATCATGTCCAACCGAGGCAATGACCTCCTGCTGAAGCTCCTACAGTATCGGTAAGCGGGAGTGTGTGTGCGTGCGTGCACGTGTGTGTGCATGTGTTTACTGACACTGGCGTGGCAAGGGAGGGAGGGAAGAGGGTTTAGGGATGAGGAGTGAAGAGAATTGGGTCCTGACCTCTCGTCCTGGTGCTCCCTCTGTAGGTATCCCCGTGTAATGGCAGAGGAGGGTCTTCGAGTGGTGAGGCAGTGGCTGGAAGCCTCCTCACAGCTGGAGGAAGGTGCAGGGGGATGCGATGAGGCCTTTGGGTGGGGGCCTGGCCGGGCCAGGTCACTGACAAGCCCTCCTTTCTCTCCCTGAGCAGCCTCGATTTATAGCCGTTGGGAGGTGGAGGAGGACTGGTGCCTGTCCGTCCTCCGCTCCTACCAGGCAGAGCACGGGCCTGACTTCCCCTGGAGTGTGGGTAAGGACGTCCTGTGGCAGGAGGGGGTGTTGGGAAGAAGCCAGGAAGGGGGATGAATGCCCAGATGTATGGCTCATGTGTGAGCGGCTCTTCTCCACAGGGGAGGACATGAGTGCAGACGGAAGGCGACAGCTGGCCTTGTTTCTGGTGAGCTGAGGGGTGGCGGGCAGGAAGGGGGTGCCGGGATGGCCAGGGGGCTTGGAGACAGGGGATACCATGTAAGCATTGGAAGTGGCAGCTTGTAGGGTGTGGGAGGTGGTTTCAGAGGCTGTGGAGGTGTTTGGGGGTGCTGTATACTGCGGTGCTCTGCACCCCACCTGTCCTGCCCTCTTCCTTCAGGCTCAGAAGTATCTGCACAACTTCGAGGCCACGCACTGCACCCCGCTCCCGGCCCCGAACTTCCAGATGCCCTGGCACCTCTAGGGACCACAGTGAGACTCGTTCTGAAAGAGTGGGATAGGAGGAGACATGAGGAAGGCTCTTCTTATTTGTGATTCTCTGTGTTCACGTTGCTATTTATAGTTTGTGGAAAGTGGGGGGCTGTCCCCCTTCTCACTGCCCTATTGCACGTTTCCCCTCATCCATCTGGCAGTACCTAACCTTCCCCAACATATACCCCGCATTCAGTGAATGGATTATTCCTAATAATTAATAAAAAGGTATTTTTTCTACAGGCTGGCTAATTGTGTGACTTTCCAAGTGTCCAGGAGCTTGGGGCCGGTAGTGGTGACAGCTGAAGCTGCAAAGAGCCAGGCTTTGGGGAACCTGACTCCAGCTGGCCAACTTAACCCTCCCCATCCCTGCTGTTCTCCCAGGCCTCCAGCCCCCAACCTGAGCTCTCCTCATGTAGTGGGTCCCCAAGCCTCCCCATTGGCTAGTGTGTCTAGTAGTATCACACCTGCAGCCTCCCTAGCCTGCACCCCAGTCCTTCCTGCATAACCCTGCAGCCACTGTAGGAGCTCACGGTTGCCCCCTCTTTGCTAAGAGCTCCAGAGCTTTCACTTACAAAGTGTTTTCTAGTACCTGATTTCCCCTACTTGGCTCTTCTACAGATTTCCAGCTCCAACCTGCATGGCTTCACCTTAAGTATCACCAGTTTTCCTTACTCAGCTCTTGCTGTTCCAAGGGGGAGTGAGGAACAGCCCACTCCCCATGTCTTCTGCGGTAAACCCTACACACCTCTTCACCGTGCCTTTGTTGCTTTCACGCATCTGTTGCAGTTCAGTGACAGGGCCTGCCAGGGACTGAGGCTTCCCAGAGCCACACTTCACCTTTCTGGACGCTATTAGAAGAAAATCCCTAAGGTGAACCCAAGGAAATTGGCTTCCTGTAACTTCTGTCCTATTTCCAATCCTCAGACTTCATGGAACAGAATGAGTTTTCCTCCCACCTGTCAGTTTGTTGCCTGGCCACCTTCTTCTTGGGAAACCTCTTTTAGCTGAAACGCTCCCAGGGTTACCCTCCTTGGCCCTCTGTTTTGAACAAGCTCAACGTGGGCAAGCAACAATGTTCTAATATCCTAGATAGCTTCTGGCTAATATCAGTGTCTCCTGGAACTCCAGGGCATGAAGCTCCTCCTCAGTCTCTGGGCAGAGGCTGTCTGCCCTCACCAGCTCCTTCAGTGGGGGCATACTGAGTCTCCACTGGAAGGGTGATCTGAGACTTGTCAGGTGATATACCTGATAATTGGGGTCAAAAGAGAAGAGGTGGCCACAGCTCCAGAATGCTCCACCTTTAGCAAACACTGGAGAGTTGATACTGGCACTCTGTTCCTCTGTCCCATCCCAGGGGGCAAACAGGTTGGGGAGTGTGGAGCATGAAGCTGTAGGTCCAGCTGGATGGTTCTGAACCTCACCTTCCAGGATCCACCAGGACAGTTAGCCTCCTGGAAAACAAGTCTGTTCAGTTAAGGTAACAACCTCCTTGAATGCAAATAGGGGGCACTTAGCCCCACCTCCCACACCCTGGAGACAAAGGACTCCCCCTTCCTGGCCAAGGCCACTAGGGACTCTGTTGACTGACCTCTACCATCACCTCCCCCTTCCCCTTCTTCCTGCATAAAGAACAGTGGATGCCATGAAGAGCCCTCAGATAACTGAAGTGGTTGGGGAGAGGGGAGGCTTAACATTTGAATTCTGGACCACCGAACCCCAGGGGCCTCAGTCTACCTCCTTAGATTACTCCCCACGTGATAAAGCTCACATCAGCTCTTTGTTTTTAGAACCACCACCACACACCACCCCCTGCCCCCGGTTGGACCAGCTCCCTGTCCACTCCTCACCCTATATAGCAGGGTTCCAACAGTCCCAGGAGAAGAACAGCCGAGATGCAGACCCCACATCTGCTGGAACTCTGGACCTTGCCTTACTGGGCACCAGGCAAGGTCTGGACGCCCAGGCGCCCCCGAGGAGCTGGGTACACGGGGAGAGAGGATGGAGGCTGGGACAAAGAAGGATTAACACCTGGGCAGGAAACCTGGGAAGGAGAGGTGGGCCCTGGGCTGGGCCCGGGCTCGCCCTGCGCTGCTTTCAGTGTGAGTTGCGGGAGTAGGCTCAGGGCTTGGTGATTGGGCTGAGGATTTGTTCGACTCCCCCGAGAGGGTCAGGTGTTTCCCTCCCAGCTGTCACAAGTGAGTGAGGGCCAGGTACTTATCCGTTCATTCATCCATCCAACAAGCCATCCCAACTCCCTCAGGAACCAAGTCTTTTTTTTTTTTTTTTTTTTTTTTTTTTTTTTTTTTTTTTTTTTCATTCATTTATATGCGGGTTAAAGATCGCTGCTCTCTAGTTCCACTCCAGACCGCCTGGTCTAGCTGCTCAGCGAACAGAACTTGGCTCCCCGCCCCCTTGTTTGCCCCGCCCATAGCCCTGACTGTAGCATTCTCTCCTCAGGCCCCACCTCCTTTGTTTCGTCACTCGGCTGCTTACCCCCACCGGTATCCCGCGTCCCCAAGGCACTCCGCGCAGAAACCTTCCTCGGCTGCTATCACCATGGCGACTACAGCAGCGCCCCGCCTCTTCACCCCTGGAAAGCCTCCACCAAGCCCATCACCGCGGCAACGAACTCACCAGGCTCGGCAGGCGCTCTGGCCGCGCCCAGCCGTTTAGACTGAGGATGGCCCTGAGGCCACGCCCCTTCCGTGGAACCACTCTCCTAGCTCGCACCGAACCCAGCCTCGAAATAACCGCCCCTGTCTTCCCTCCGGCTATCCGCAGGCCGGGTTCAGAGGACGCTGTGAAATTCCCTTCTAACTCCTTTCTGCCCCGTTCGCTTCAAGAGGAGCCTCCGCTCTCTGATTCTGTCTACCACTCTGTCGTTCATTCAGCAGGCATTTATGCAGGTGCCAGGCGCTCCTCCCCAAATCTTCATTACTCCGACTTTTCAATTATACAATTGTCTGATTTCATTTATCCCAAGGCTCTTGGGCACGCAGTGGCGTGCGTTTTCCTTTCGTATTCTTTCTTTCCTGTCCGTCTTTCTTGGCTCAAATCTGAGTCCATTTCTTCCCATCTTCCCCATCAGCGCCCCGAGGCCAAATGATTCTCGGATGGTCTGGGGACTGTAAGCAGGGAGCCCTCCCTCAGGGCCGCACCCCAAACCTCCAGACCAGAAACTGGAGCAGGTGGTTCGCTCCTGTACGCCGAGCTCTTCCTACAGCACCCCCGACCCTTAAAGGGAAAACCCTGAGTCTCTCAGAGACCCTGACCTGGCGAGGTGCGTGCTGAGCTGGTCGCTTGAAGGAGCTCAGCGGGCGAACCCCCCAGTAAAGGCGGCCCCCAGCAAAGGACGTGGGCGGGGCTCCTGGGACGCCCACCTCTGCTCTTTGGTTGCGGCGTTAGCCTCCGGCCTGGTGGGTTGGTGGTGCCACAGCGCCTCCTTCCGGGGAAGCCGCGTGGTGCTCTGGGCGTCTGTTAGGGGCGGAAGGCTAGGTCTGACGCCAGGCATGTTTTCCCAGGTTTCATTGCCAGCCAGCGCCCGGCAGAGAACTGAGCGTGGCCAGAGGGCCGCCCCCGCTTCCTCCTGGGAGCCCTGAAGTGCAGTCAGGCCCGGAGAACGAGAGCCCGGTGCCGGAGCCTTGTGGGCGCCGGAGATCAGAGTTACTGACCTGCAGCGGAGCTTAGGCGGGGTGGGGTAAAAGGGGGCGTAAGGAAAGGTGCTGGCTAGTTACCTGGAACCCACAGGGGCCACTGGGCTGAATAGGTCAGTCGGGACTCAGGTGTCCTCGCTTCTAGATTTGACAGTTCCACGTTGTTCCCATCTTGAAAAATGGTACCACCAATCACCTCCTTGGGCAAGCCTATCCCCCACTTTTCCTCTTTCCATATTCAGTCTAACTGCAAATCTGTTCAGTCTTCCTTCTAAATAAATGTCAGATTCATTCGTCTTTTCCTTGCCTCTCTTCTGCCAGACCAGGCCGCCATCTTGTGACGGGACTCAGGAATAGCTTCCTAACTGGTTTCCCGGCCTCGGCAATCTTTTACAAACAGAACTCTGATCTTGTTGCTCCTTTGGTCAGTGCTCAGGACTGCCCAGGTGCTCCCGGGAAGTACTCATCCTTCCCCCTCCATCCCCCCATCATTGTTTGTTGTCTCCCCCACTAGACAGCTCTGTGGGGGCAGGGATTTTGTGTAATGTTGTATCCGCAACACCTGATACAGTGATTCAGTAAACTTCTGTAGAATAAATATGAAAAAAAAAGTTTCCCTCTCATTCCCCTTTTGTCTGGGTCCTGTCCCCAAGCCAGGATGTTAGGTCTTAGAGTGGCCGTGGGTGAGGACACTCTGTTTCTCTGGCTGTTCTGGGACTGATTTCCACCCCAAATGGGTGTTGCCTCTCTCTTTCCTCTTGGCCAACTTCTCTTTCACCAATATAAGCCCCAACTGGAGGCTAGTAGGCAGCAGGCCCTGCAGTTAGCCGGAGTATGGAGCCCATGGGCCTTCATAGCACCTCCCAAGCCCTGTACATGGTCCTTTTAATAGTGCTGGTCATGAGGAGCTTGGTGTTTGGTAAGTGGCTCTAAGGGGTCAGAAGGGTCTCCTGGTCTGCTGGATAGAGAGACCCACAGATACCAGGTGTCTGGGCACATCTGCCCAGGATGCTCAGGTAAAACCAAGCAGAGGGAAGGATGGGATGGATGGACTTGGTGAGATAATGCCTAGGGACTGGTAATGGACTGCTGTTCACTCTGAGGGATATCTCTAGTTATTACCCCAGGGCTGTCTCAACAGCAGTGACCTAAATGCAGATACTGAAAGGACTCCATTTAAATCTGGGGCAGTACAGAATAGGGAGGATTCCGAGAACATGCTAGATAACAGAACCGGGATCCACCCAGTAGAACAAGGCTGAATCTAGCCTGATAACATCCTCAACATGGCTGTAAAACACCGTCTATATAGAAACAGGATTCAAAGTGTTTGTTCAGTATTTGCCTCCCACTAAGTGTTCTGCTGGGTCTGGGGACTCACTGACATGTGATCTGGGCCTGGAACGAGAGGAAGAGGGAGCATATATACACGTAGGTGGGGAAGGCTTTGGTGGACAAAGTTTAATATGGGTCTTTCCAGTGATTAGACCACCAAACAAATAATGTGATGGGGGGCCACTCGAAGTCTCCTGTCCACACAAAGCATAGATTCCTCTTGTCCTGTGGTGATGCACTCTTGTTTTCACTGAACATTACAGATTAAGAAAGCATATTCAAAAGGGGGTCCATAGGGGTGGGGAGACTGTGAAACCAAGTCCCAGAAGAAGAACTGTCCTCACAGAACTGCCCAGGCTGGAATTAACTGCCTCTGCTTAGTCTTTGAACTTAGGAGCTTGCCGAGTGCTGGGCACATGGTAGTACCTCAAAATACATGTTGAATGAGTAAATGAATTCCTTAATGATTTCCTTATTTCAGGAGGTATAAGAGCAGAGAATAGAGGTTTTAAAACTGACGAAAGCCTGTGATAGAGGATTAAGCCAGATGGTTTTAAAGAACGGGTGATTTCATGGTTTTCTGAGACGGGAAGCTGGGGAGGGAAGAATGGGCTTGACCAGCCTGGAAATTAGGTGGGGTTGGAGTCGGTGTTGCTCTGTGTTCTAGGTAATTTTGATCCTGTCAATCCGGAACCCCCTCATCCAGCTCAGTTCTCCAAATATCTGCGCTGCTATCGATGCCTCTTGGAGACCAAGGAGTTGGGATGCCTTCTGGGATCTGACATCTGCCCTTGCCCCTCCTGGCAGCAGCTGCATGACTCTGCTCATAAAGAACAGTGAGCTGCTTGTCCTTGGCCCGACCCATTCCTGAGCTGCATCTCTCAGCTGTACCCCACAGTCTGGTTCCTACAACCCCTGCCTAGATAGTGCTCGTTATCCTCTCTCCTTCCTCACCTTCAGAGCCATTCTGTCTCCACTTCCACCCCTCCTGTTCCCTCATGGGGCTGGCTGGTGTCCACGTTTCTTTTTTTAATGTTTTTATTTATTTTTGAGACAGAGAGACAGAGCAGGGCAGGAGAGGGGCAGAGAGAGAGGGAGACACAAAATCCGGAGCAGGTTCCAGGCTCTGAGCTGTCCGCACAGAGCCCGACGCGGGGCTCGAACTCACAGACCGTGAGATCATGACCTGAGCTGAAGTCAGACGCCCAACCGACCGAGCCACCCAGGCGCCCCATGGCGTATGTGTTTCTTACAGCACCCGGCCTTGTGGGGGAGGCTTGTGATCACTAGATCCCCCGGCTTCTCCTCAGGCTGCCTTCTCTCTGTTCAGGGACACCCCTAATGGTTCACGTTCACCAAAATTTAGGCATTAGCTGTCTTCCCACTTCACTCTCCCCAGAGGATTTGCTCTGCTTCCTTATGAATGTGAATGTTAGGCCAAATTGTCACGTGAAATTGCCCTCTGGACAGCTCCACCTCAGTTTCAACTTCCTGAAACTGCAGCCCCTGTTTCTCATGCCTGCTCTTCCACACGATCCCTCACTCCCCGCCCTCCACCCCTGCTTTTTTTAGTGGGCTCAATGCCCAACATGGGGCTTGAACTCACAACCCCTAGATCAAGGAGTCCTATGCTCTACTGACTGAGCAGCTGGGGGCCCCTCCTCCGCTCTTTTTAACAAACACAGAACACATTATGTGCCAGCACTGTTCTAAGCACTTACCACCCTCTCAGACAGGTTTTTTATTATTGTTATCCCCATTTTACTGATGAGGAAACAGACGCCCAGAAAGGTCAAAATCTTGCCCAACTCTCCTAGAAGCTGAACCACAATTTGTGGTGATTCCGGAGATGGTGCTCTTAACAACACTGCATAAACTTGCCTTCAAGTCCTTTTATTATACTTTTGGTTCAATATCAGAGTACTCAACCGCATCAAAGAAAAGTCTCCCTCCCACTCCTGGCACAAGCCACCCAGCTCTCATGCACAAACAACACAAAACTAATGTTCCTAGTCTCTTTTTTTTCCTAAAGACTTTTTTTCATTTTTAAGTAATCCCTACACCAAACGTGGGGCTCGAACTTACAACCCTGAGATCAAGAGTCACATGCTCTACTGACTGAGCGAGCCAGATGCCCCACATCTTTCCACATTCTTGATATCCTTTCTGTGATCTTTTGTGTACATCTCACTCTATGCAAATATGTTGTTTCACCTCTTTTTCTGTCCTCCATAAACAGTAGCATACCACTGTAAACACTGGTGTGCACTTGCTTTTTATATATTTTTATTAATTAAAAACTTTTAAAAATGTTTATTTAGAGGGGGGGCGGAGAGAGAGACAGAGAGAGAGAGAGAATCTGAAGCAGGTTCCAGGCTCTGAGCTGTCAGCACAGAGCCCAATGCAGGGCTTGAACTCACAAACCACGAGATCATGGCTGGAGCTGAAGTCAGATGCTTAACTGACTGAGCCACCCAGGGGCCTCTATCTATCTATATATATATCTATCTGTCTATCATCTATTTATTTATTTTTGAGAGAGAGAGGTAGAGACAGAGGGAGTGAGGGAGGAAGACGGGGAGAGAGAGAGACAGGGGGGGAGAGAGAGAGAGAGAGAGAGAGGAGAATTCTGGTGAAATTTCACGCCAGCACACAGAGTATCTCAACGGGGCCTCAATCCCATGACCCCAGGATCACGATCTGAGCCAAAATCAAGCGTCAGATGCTCAACTGACTCAGCCACCCCTACAATAACACTTGGTTTTTTTAAAATGAACAACAAGGGAATTTTAAAGCCCATATCAGTTTGTAAACAGCTTCCCTGTTCTTCTGACCTGCTGCATGGTTCTCCATGGCACGGGCATAGCAGAGTTTGACAATCCCATTATTGACGGATCTGTAGGTTGCTTCTAATTTTTTCCTCTCTCAAGCAGGGCAGGAATGAATGTCCCTGTGAACACATTTTTTCCCCCTTTAATATATATATAATAGCAAGAGATACCATCTTCTCTTTTGTTCCATAAAATGATGACAAACACCTTTTCTTTGCAATCTGACCTCCAATACATCTCCCAACTTTTTTTTATATGGTCCCAGCTGAAGTGCTGGTTCTCCCCCAGCAAGACCCAACTCAGCCCCCTCCAACCATCACTGTATTTTTAAAAAAATTTTAATATTTATTTTTGAGAGAGAGAGACAGAGAGAGCACAAGTGGGAGAGGGGCAGAGAGAGGTAGATACAGAATCTGAAGCAGGCTCCAGGCTCTGAGCTGTCAGCACAGCGCCAGATGCGGGGCTTGAACTCACGAACTGTGAGACCATGGCCTGAGCCAAAGTCGGATGCTTAACCAACTGAGCCACCCAGGTGTCCCGCATCACTTTATTTTGAATGGCTCTTTCCCACCAACCTTCCACAGGATCCATAGCTGGTGACTCCCTGGCATTCCTGCCCCTGTCCAGTTCCAGGAATCTTGGCATTTGGTGGGGGGGGGGTCAGGGAAGGGTGTGGGATCAGTGATGGTAAGTCCATGTGGAGGGAGGGGATGGAAGAGTCTGGGATTGTGCCTGGGACCTGAGATGTCTGTATCACTGGTTGCTGCCATCCTTCCCCAGGCAGTGGTTCTGACATCATGGTGAGTGACTGCTGCCGCAAGGAGCAGATGAGTGATTGTTCGCATACCCGCTCTTCTCCAGTGTTTGGCTTCTGGATATTTTCTCGATGCTGCTTCCTGGAGTCTGCAATAACCCTCAGAACAGTGTTCTATATTCCTTAGAACTTCCGCAGAGACTTTTAGAATAAAACCCTGCTAGTTGCCATCCATCTTCCTGATTTCCATCTGGGTGGCAGAGCCAGAACAACTTCTAGTCCCTTTTACCGGCCCTATTGGCCTCCTAGTTGACACCCAACACCCCTCTTCCCACTCAGCCCCTCCCCCAGGTCCCCTCTCCAGAATTCTGAGTTTTCCCTTCAAGTCCTCCCGGTTTGATGGCTTTACTCTTCTCTCCTCCCATCTCTCAGCTGCTTCTTGTCCTTGCTTTGCCCCTTCTCCCACCATGGGCCTCTCTAGCCTCAAGTCCCCAGGTGTTCCTCGCAAATAAATTGGTGTATAAACTGTAGAGCTCGTCTCTCTCTTCTGGTAGTGGTGGAGGCTGAGGAAAGCTGAGGTCCCACCTGACTGCCCCACCTCGGGGCTCCTAGCTCTGTTGAACTCTGCTTCTGCCCGACCTCCATGTCTTGGATTCAGCTCTAGGCACAAAAGGTGAAGAACTGGAAGCCTTTCTGTGGCGAAGGGCAAAAGGGCAGTGGGCACCCTTGGCAGTGCTATGTGGGGCCTGGGTTGGGGGAGGTCCACGGTGTGGGAGGTGAGGGCTGGCGGGAGTGGAACTATGAGGCCTGGGACCAGGCCCAGGGAGAGGGTGGGGGGAAGCACCCTGTGGAAGAGCCGCTAGATCTAGTGGAGCCCTGGCCGGAACCCAGGCTCAGCTTCCCTCTTCAAGGACCATGTGGGAAGTTACTGCCTAATCTTGGGCCTTGGGTTCCTCAGCCTCTGAGACCATCGTCTAGTTTGACTTGCTAGAGCTGTATAAACCTAGACTTCTACACTGAAGTCAGAGATGGTGGGGGGAAAGTGGGCCCAGACAGGGGGGCACACTGAAGGTTTGTACTTATTTTTGCACACCTCCCCCCCCCACACACTGCTCTCTTACCTACCAATTAATATTGGAGTTTCCTGCCAGAGCATAGGCTATTTAAAGGGCCAGTGATCTCTGCTAACATATGTGCAAAATGTGTAAGAGTATATGCTGCATGATGCCCTCTGTACCAAGCACACAGACAAAATTCCTCTAAGCAGCTACAACTCAGGACAGCGGCTACCCAAGTTAGAAGTGCCTGGGAGGGTGCACGAAGGTTGCTTTGGGTGCTGATATAGGCCTTTATAGTGACTTGAGGACTGGTAATCTGGGTGTGAAGTTTAGAAAAACCCACATTATGGTATGTGTTAGCTTTGGTATGTTTTGGCAGAGGCTTAAAAATAGGCCAGGGGTGTCTGGCTGGCTCAGTTGGTAGAGCATGTGACTCTTGAACTCGGGGTAGTGAGTCAAGCCCCACATTGGGGATAGAGATTACTTTAAAAAGTAGTGGGGCACCTAGGTGGCTCAGTTGGTTAAGTGTCTGACTCTTGGTTTTGGCTCAGGTCATGATCTCGTGGTGTGAGTTTGAGCCCTGCCATTGGGCTCTGTGCTGCCAGCACAGAGCCTGCTTGGGATTCTCTCTCTCTCAAAATGAATAAAAGTTTTATTTTATTTTTTAAGTTTATGGATTTGAGAGGTGAGGGGAGAGAATGAGTGGGGGAGGGGCAGAGAGAGACAAAGAGAATCCCAAGCAGGCTCTATGCTGTCAGCAGAGCCGACGTGGGGCTCAGTCTCACGAACTGTGAGATCATGACCTGGGCTGAAACCAAGAGTCGGATGTTTAACCAACTGAGTCATCCAGGCGCCAGTATAAACAAACATTTTTTTTTTAAGTAGTAGTCATACATACATACATACATAAATGCTACAATCTGTAGGTACCTTTGTCCCATGTGTCTATTTTTGAGGCTTTAATTTTCACCTGTGCACACAAACATGCATTCTCTCAATCCTAGGAGGTACTATCCCTCCTTGACAGGTGACCAAAGTGAGACAGAAACCAACTTACCCAAGTGGCAGAGGAGCTGGAATTGGGTCCCCCAACCACAAAGTGCACACTGCTTTTTAGAAAAAGGTTTCACAACCCCAGCACTGGGTTGTGAGATTCAGAAGGGTGGGCACCTGGCTGTACTCAATAACACCACACCCAGAACAGTGTGTTTAACTGCATGTATGAAAAAAGTTACGAATATTCACTACTGTTTTCTGTAGGCTTGTAGTTTTCCAAAAATAAAACATTAAAATCAAAGACCTAAACTGCAGCCTCACCTGTATAATTTGTGAACATCCCCAACCCCCAAACCTAGCTCCCTAAAGAGGTGGTCCTGGGTGCCAGGATCCTGAAAGAACAGGCAAGAACCCAGGTTCCTCAGCACCAGGGGACTCTCAGATACAGGCCTGGACCCTTTGGTTTGCTCCTGAGTTTTTCTGGTTTAAAGGCGAGTTTTTCCTCCTCTGTTAGATGGAAAAGTCAATGTAACCAGGGTTTAATTCTCTAGGTTTTGTAGGGCAAAGTTTTTTGGTTTTGTTTTGTTAAAGATTTTAAGTAATCTCTACACCCAATGTGGAGTCCAAATTTATAACCCCAAGATTGAGTCACACGCTCTACTGACTGAGCCAGACAGGTGCCCCTGTGGAGTAAGTTAAAGGCTGGGAGAAGTCCTAGCTAATCAGAAGGTGGATGGATACAAGCCCTTTGGGGGCAGGCCATGAGAAAGCCACAAAGGCCAAGTGGAGTGGGCCAGGCTGTAAACTGTTTGCTCCCCATGCCCAATTAACAGGTCTACACTTGTCCATACCTGAGCCTGACCCCATCAACAGTGTGACACAGACTTAGCCCAGTCCATTTATTGTGGAGGTTCTGGAGAGTAAGCGGGAGATATAGTGCAGAGCAGGGCCGACCCTCGCCTCTCCTCTCCCCTAGAACCCATGGAAGTGGGTGTCAGGACTCAGTGATGTGAAGTGGGGCTGAGGAGGCCAGAGACGGTGGCAAAAGGAGAGAAGCAGGAAACCAGGGCAGGAGTAGAGGTGGAGGCAGTGAAGTAGGGACACCAGAGTGCCTAGTCAGGAAATCTGCACAGATGTCTACGCTTCATTCTTCTTGCTACAACTTCAGTCTGGGTCTTAAGATAGGCATGGGCTGCAATCTACAACCAGACCTGAATGGAGATAGCAGGTGGCCGGACTGACAGGGGATTGGAAAGATGAGGGGGCTGATGGACTTGGAAGATGAGAAAGGCACGAGGAAACCACTGTGCCTTCCCTAGGTCAACCTGGGCAGAAAGTGAACTTGGTATTTTCTAGGAGAAAGAAGAGTACTGGTGCAGTGCCACAGCGGTTTCTGGGAAGGAAATGAAACCTAAGCCATACAGATGCTGGAAGCACAGAGGAAGGGAGGCCTGAAAAATCACAGACCAGAGAATGTGGGTGTTCTAGGAGGGCAGCACTAGGTGCTGGGGTGTTAGGAGAGAGATGCTGGAAGAGTAAAATCCAAGAAGGATAAGGCATCAGGGCCCAGCCCAGAGAAGAACCAAAAGTCCTGAGCTGTTGAGAGACAAGTATACGTGGTGCAGGTCAGCGATGGACAAGCTCAGGTTCAGGGGCAGGGTGGCCAGGGGGTCGAGGCCTTCAGGCTCCTTCCCAGCACGGAAGGTGGGTAGGGGCAGTGAGAGGTTCAGAGCCTTGTAGAATCACTGGATTTGGAACTCCGACAGGGGCAGGGCCAAGGCCCCAGCAGGGGGATCAGGCAGGGAGCTCTGGAGCTGGGGGCTGGACCAGGAGTTGCAGTAATCGTACTGGCAGCACTGGGCCTGGTACCAGTACTCCGAGAAGTAGGTATTGCGTTTTTCCTGGCAGCGGTAAGAATTGTACTGTCCACAGCCTCGGACGAAGAAACGTATCTTGGTATCTGGAGAAGAGGGAACAGCTAATACCCCTGCTGCCTCCCATGGTCCCCAAACCTGGTATCCTCACCCTAGACTCTCCCCATCCCTCACCCAGACCTGACTTCTAGCCCAGACTCCTTCAGAATGGGCCAGAAAAATTGGCTTAGCTGACCCCCGAGAACCCCAGACTCCTCTTTTCAGGATCCTCCTGTCTTCTTCTTGCACCCCAGGCCCTAAGCAGCCCTCATCTATGAGAGGAGAGGAGACCAAGCCACGGGCTATCCCACCAGCAGCTCCCTCCTGGGACTTGACTCACCACAATAGATGGTTATCACCATGCATGGCAACGAGCTGCTGATGGTGCACTTCTCTGAACCGGAAATGCACCCTGTAGAAGGGTCTTCTAAGAGGCAGAGGTGACAGGTCCGGACTTCAGAAACAGGAGCTGGGGAAGCAGAAAACAGGAAGGATGGGAATGTTGGCTCATTCCAAGTTCTCTGCCTTGCAGGGAGCCTGTGAACCGAGTGCTACAGCACCCCCCGCCCTTCCTGGACTCAGTCACCCCTCCCTCCTTGCCCCTGGGCCCCACTTACCCTTTCCCACTGTGAAGCCCACCATGACCAGCACACCTACAAGTACATGGAACTTCATGATGGAATTCTGAGAAGGGCAGTCCCTGAGGGGTATCCTGAAATCCCACCTTCCTGTGACCATGTTCCTTGCAGGGTGATTTTGATAGTTGGGGCAGGAGCTGCTGTAGACGTAGAGCTATATTCCTTGGCTGGGGGAGGAAGTTATTAACTTGGCTGGAGGGACGGCATGTCCTCACCCACAAGGTCAGGTTCCTGGACGTGGGAACAGTGGCCTACACAAGAACAACACCTGGGCCTTTATCCAGTTGTCTGTCTCTCTCATGCCCTGAAAAAATCTATTCCCACACCTCAAGGGTCCATGGACAGTGTCTGTCTCTGGTACCACCTGCTGTCCTCCCCACACATACAGCGAGTCCCTACCGTGCTGGGAAACACTTGGGCCAGGCGCCCAGGGTCCCTGTCCTTCTGAGATGAGCGTGTCAGCTCCCCCAGCAGGGGGCGCACAGACACCACCCAGCAGCAACTCTGGACCTTGTCCCTCTTTCCACCCCTTACCATTCTATTTATTTCAGGACCACTTTCCCTGTAAAATCAAAACCGAAATATTTTGTTGTTGATTATACTCCTTACAGTATAAATGTACAGCCATAGGTGGCCAAAAAAGAACAAATTATGTCTCCAGTCTTTGAAAGTGGATTTTCCCCTAGATCTTTTCCATGTGACATTGCACATCTCCGCATCCACTGCTAGTTCTGCTCTACTGCTAAAAACACCACCCAAATCCACTGGGCACAAATCTGTGCTGGTTTTCAACTTGAGGGTGGGCTGGGCCATGAGGGCCCCTGGGATCAAGCACAGCACTACCCTCCCATCCCCCATCCCCAAGCACCAGCAGACCAGCTCATGGCCTTTTCTTCCACTTTATTTCATATTCCCACCACAATAATGACTCCTTTAATTTAAACTAAAAACCATAGAGGGTTCCTGAAAGGGTGGCAGCAAAGGAATAGAGGTGTTAAAGGCAGAGGGACAGGTTGGGTGGGGAATCAGCGAATCGTCTTGACTGGGCTCTTGAAGTTGCTGGCGGCTTGGAGCTGCAGCTGGTAGGCCATTGGATGGATCTTGAAACCGTAGAGCCTGGGCCAGGGCACAGATCAGAGGCAGTAGGGTGAGCCCCACTCTGGCCCTGCCAGTGGCCTGCATTTCCCCCTCCCCACCCCAGCTTCTCCATGGGTCTGCTAAGTGCTTAAGGACAGTGGTTCCCAAACATCTTCCCTCAGAATACTGGGAAATATACCTTGAATAGCCATTAAAACTCTTACTCTAGGATATACGTAAACATACACACACATACAGGAATGTGACTGCTTGCTTCTGTGTGCACTTGTTTCAACAGAACACCAAACTGTTCTTCCCAGTACACATGATGTTCCAGGAAGATAAACCACACTTTCTCCTGGCAAAAGGATGAGCGCCCGAGATGATGGCAAAAAGTTATCGTTTAAATGGTACTTCCAGTGCCAAATGTTATTCAAAGCAACTCAATATTTAAATATATTCTGTCAGGTATATTTAAATACACTCCGTCAGGCAAGTACTATCATCACCCCTGTTTCATGGATAAGGGAACTGAGGCACAGGCAATCAAATACCTTCCCCAAGGTCACTTGCTGTGGGAGAAGCAAACCTCAAGAAAGGACCATGCCCTGTCCACCCTTCTCTCTGGGGAATCCTGAACCTTTCCTTTGACCCATGGTGACTCTAGCCCTGCTCCCCACCTGGGCACAAACTGGTTGGCGGGCCGTTTGGGCCGGTACTCAGGGTGCACCATGAAGAGCATGTGAGGGAAACCGGTGCCGAAGTAGGCGCCGTCCGTGTGATGGTGCCTCGATGACTTGGGTGTGTACACGTCCATGCACTTGGGGCAGTAGAGCTTCACCATGGCCTCACCTGGGATGTCCGAAAGGCCTGGGAGACAGCCAGACTCAGCAGGCCGGGCATCCCCAACCCTGCCCAACCTCCCTCCCACACAGAGGCCCCGACTTGCTGAACCCCAACTCCTTCCCAGAGGACCTGCCATTTGATGTGGCCTCCTTCCCCTTCTCTAACACTCACCGATGGGAAGCATTGGCTGATTCTCACAGTACACACGGGGACAGTAGCCAAAGTCTCCTTGCTGGTACTTTTCCAACTGAGGTGAATAAAATGAAAGGGGTTGGTAGGTAGGTACAAAGAGAAGAGGCAATCCCCTCCTCAGCCCAAGCCACGTCACTCTGTCCCCAACTCCTGCCTCTGTCCAGAGACCCCTTCTAAGCAGGCCCAGACAGGCCCTCATACTCCTCTGCTTCCTTTCCTCCAGTTAGGCAGGGTACAGACTATCAGAGCCATTCGCTGTTTGTTCCCTAAGGAAAAGGCAGACTGCAACAACTCCCTGTCCAAGGTCATGTCTCCCTCCCCAAAAACACCTCAGTCAGCACAAACCCCAATTAGGATTTAATTCCCAAGGCCAGGTTGTGGGGTTCTTCCCCTCTTCTTGGCTACATTCCTTGACAAGGTTGAAACGTTTGACTCCCGTGCTGCAGGAACCTCTGTTTCCCTTATTGCCTCAGAGGAGTCAAGTGGGAGCAGAGAGGCCTCACCATCTGGGCAATGCCACGGTTGGTGAGGATATAGCGGGCGTGGATCAATCCATAAAGCATCTCGGCTGCCTGCTCAATCAGGTCGCTCTGGTTGGGGTTGTCTTCCAGCTCTTCATCTGAAACATAGCCCCGGCCAATTGCAACCACTTGTCTTACAGCTTTCTTAGATGCCCCACCCACTGCCAGGGATTGCCAGCTACTCAGTGTGCTCCGCACCCATCTTTAAGTCACCCATCACCTGAGCATTTGACCCAGAAACCTGGGCCTCTGACCCTTCCACCAACCCAAGGCAGCTCTGCCTTCTTTCCACATCTCTTCAGCCTCTGCTCTCTCTCCCTCCCAACCCCTCCTCAACACATAAATGCAAAGATGTCAACGCAGAAGATGAAACTGAAAGGTGAAAGGCAAAAAAAAAAAAAAAAAAAAAAAACAGGAAAGGTGACCCAAGGAGAAACTAGCATTAGGAGACAGAGCCAAGTTACAGGACCAGAGTGTGGGAACAGGAGGTGTAAGTCACAAAACTGGGCAAGAGTCAGATGGGAGACCAAAACGAAGTAGGGGACTTTGGATAAAGACAGAGAACCAAAAGGAAATATGGAAATCCAAGAAGCAGATAAACAGGAACATGAAAAAAACAAAAAACAAAAAACAAAACCACGAACATATACACACTAAACAACACTGAGGGTGCCTCACCAGGCTCCAGGTCCAAGATCATGTCTAGAGCTTGTCGATAGTGAGGCACCTGCTCATTGAGTCCAGTGAGGTTGAATTTGTCCTGGATGTAGTCTTCATCCACCTGTCAGGATGTGGAAGTCAAGATGAAACCCACAGCAGAATCCTCAGCTTTGACTTGGGCACGTTGCTCTAACTGGTGCCTTATTCTTAACACAACTGCTTTGGTTTCCCCTTATTCCTCAACCCCAGCTCAGCAGAAGTACTTGAGTCTCTCTCCCCAGTTCAGATACATAGCCTTCCCATAAAAGCTTTGGCTTTTCTTTTCTACAGATAAGCAGCTACAACAATCTCCTACTTAAAGAGACATTCCTTTCAAAAGCCCTGTTCCTACTCCTGCCCTCATCCCTAGGAACCAGTTTTGTCCTCTCCTTAAGAGCAGCTAGGTCTCTAAGGAAAGTGGAGACTCAACAGCTTCAGTCCTGTGGATAGTTACAATCCTTTATATTATTAGTAGACAACTTTCCACATTACAAAGCATTTTCACATGTGACATTTTAATTCTAATAGACTCCAACGGGAAGCACTCCCAGTACCAGTCTAATAATAACTTTAATAACAATAAAAGGGTTGACTTGTCCCATGTTACAGAGGGTAGCAGGTTTGGGACCTGGGAAGTCTTGCCACTTCACAAATTAGTGAGGGGAGTTACTGACGGGACTCTTCCTTGACAGGAAAAGTTTCTGTGGAAACCTGTAAGAAAAGCGTGTGGAAGCTAAATATGTGGGGAAATATAATGCCAAACTTTGTGTAGAGACAGCTGGGAGACTGAGAACTCACTTCACAGAAGAATTCATTGCCACGGAGCCCACAGAACCAGGAAATCCAGGACACCTCCTCTGAGCTGCTCATCTTCACGTCAGCTGGGAAAAAAGAGAGTGTAAGTTAAGTCCAAGCTCTCCCACCTTGCCTCTGGTATCCTCCCTCCTCCCACACTTAGATCTCTAACCATGGAGGAATTTGGGGCAACCTTTCCTTAAAGGATCCCAGACTCTAGAGCACCTCTCTCCGGCCCCTCTTATTCACATCTCAGCCCCTTTTCTCTGAGATCAGATTCTTTGGAGTCCCACCGCTTTCAAGAAACCGACAGGTCTTGACCCACCAGTCCTACCCACATCCCTATCGCTCCAGAAGACCAGCCCACTCTCCCTTCCTGTCAACTCCAGCAGAGCCCCAGGCTCGAGCTCCCTACCCCGACGGTCTCTGAATGTCCCTGGCGCCTTTCCCAAGGGTCCCGAAGTTTATCCTTTCCGTGCAAGAGCTGGGACCCTTTTTCTCTCATGGCCTGGGGGTGGCCGTGAAGTCCCTTTCACAGGAGTCCCCACATGCCACCTCCGCCCCTCAGGCCATCCCTCTCTCCCCCGGTTCCGGACCGGGTCACTTCCTTCCCCACCCCCACATCAAGGCGCGGAGACCCCATGTGCCGCGCCTAAGGGCAGGGGGCTAGGCGCGGCGACTACCTCAGACTCACCGGCTGGACGGGGACCGGGACCAGGGTGGGGGAGGGGAGTTGCCGCTTCCAAGAAACCGCGACGGCTACAACGCAGGCCGCGGACCCAACCGCGGCAGGCGAAGTGGGGTGGGGGGAGTGGAAATCGGGGAGGGTGGGGAGAGGGCAACGCGCAAGCGCCAAGGGTCGGGCGCCGCAGCGAACGCCGGGAGATGGAGTCCCCGGTAAAAAGAAACTGGCGAAGCGAGGGAGAGGTGAACTACGAATCCCAGAATGACCCACGCACGACCCTTGTGTCGCGAGGCCCCTGAGCCAGACGCTCGGGGGCGAGCGCAGCGGGGTGCCACCGGAAGCGGAAGTCCAGTACCCGTTCTGGGCCGGGGAGCCTGGGAAATATAGTCGTAGGATCCCGCGACTGAGGGGCCGTGAGGGGGCGGGGAAGTGAACGAGGCTGGCTGGCTGGTTGGTTTCCTGCAGCTCCCCTCACGCAGCGAGGTTGTGTCCCAGGCGCTCCCCTCCTACTCAGGGGACTGACCTCATCCCCGGCTAACCGGCCGGTCCTTATTGCCTATCGAGCCCCTCGCCCGAGTTAGGCCCGCCACTGGAGGCTTCGCGGTGAGGGGGGGGTGGGGAACTTTGTGTTTCACCCCGGGGTCTGGTCTCCTCGGGCGGGAGGTGAGGCCGGGCTCCCTGCTGAGGGACTTCGGTAGGGTGGGCTCGGCTGAGGTGAGCGATGTGAGAACCGGGACGGCCCCGTGCTCTAACCTGAGGTGGCGCCAGCCATTCTGTTGCTCGTCCCCTTGCACTTCTCCATTTCCTCTTAGGGCTTGAAAGGGGCCTTATGCTGCGGGCACTAAGTATGACCTTCGAACCCTGGTCAGAATAATGGTGAGGGGCAGGGTGATGTTATTTCATTTCACAGCTTCTGTGCATTCCACAGGTTTCCTTCCGCCAACTCAGAGCCTTTCTTAACTCAGAGAGTGGTTTCCCAGTTCCAAAAAATGAGCTCGGAGAGGGGGGCCACGTTCAGGGAGGCAAGAGGCATTGTGGGGGCGTTATGTAAAAGTAGGACCCCAACCGACAGACTGTCCTCGCGCTACTTAAGCACGTGGCATTTTGAGCGGATGCTCTGGAAAAGGTCCCAGGGTGGGGAAGCTGAACCTGGCGCTTAGCACAGGCCTGCGTCCTCAAGTAATGTTTTGTGTTGTTTTGTTGTTTTTTTCCAGTCCCGCATGCGTGTTAGGGGTCGTGTGGCTATTTGATCGTCAGCTCCTTTGCTTAAAGTAGTGCTATTTGCCGTGCGGAGACTACCAAGACTGGAGTTTCTCCCTTAAATCAGCTTCTTGCTTCCGTAGAAGTGTTAAAGTCTGTTCTTGTTTGGGAAGAATACCCCGACCATAGGATCAAGGAAGATTTAAAGGGCCAGGCTGATTGTTTCCTTAATGGTATGTCTTAACTGGTGGTCAAATAGTTTTAGATAGAAGCTGTTTTTATTTATTGTTGTTGACGATGGGGTTGGTGGCAACTCTCACTGAGTCTTTGTTAAATTAACCTTTAGTAAGGGGCATGGGCTGTTATTGTAGGGTTCTGTTTTTCCACATGACCTATGGTCCTTAGTCCCTGCAGAGTCCTAGGTTGTGGGCTCACTTAGGGAGTGAGAGGGTTTTTTGACTTTAAGGGTATTTTTCCTCATCCCAGCAGGTCTCCGGAGGTGGCTCTGATCAATGCAGAGCCACGAAGCGATTGGCTTGCTTGTCTCAGCCTTTGTCTAGTCTCATCCTCCCAGTTTACCCAAGAGCCATGTCCAGGCCCTCCCTCATCACCTTCACCCCGGCCACCAGTGCCAGTGACCTCTGGAAAGATGGGCAGCAGCAGTCACAGCCTGAAGAGCTGGAGCCCACCCTGGATGGGGCTGCAGCCCGGGCGTTCTATGAGGCCCTGATTGGCGATGAAAGCAGTGCCCCTGAATCCCAGAGATCTCAGCCTGAACCTGCCAGTAAGAGAAAGAGGAAGAAGAGAAGAATAATGAGGGAAGCTGCTGCAGGAACCTCAGGAGGACATGGACAAAGGAGATCCCTTGAGGCGGAGGACAAAATGACCCAGTGGATACTAAGGGCAGCCCAAGAGGGTGACCTAGCAGAACTAAGAAGGCTGTTGGATCCCCGTGAGGCAGGGGGAGCTGGGGGCAACATCAATGCTCGGGATGCCTTCTGGTGGACCCCCTTGATGTGTGCTGCTCGAGCAGGCCAGGGAGCTGCTGTGCGCTATCTCCTGGGCCGTGGAGCTGCCTGGGTAGGGGTCTGTGAGCTGGGTGGCAAGGATGCTGCTCAGCTGGCTGAAGAAGCAGGCTTCCCTGAGGTGGCCCGCATGGTCAGAGAGAGCCATGGAGAGACAAGGAGTCCAGAGAACCGGTGAGGGGAAGCCTTAGCCCATGCCTCTTTCAGTGTGTCTGTCTTTCCTAGCCCCTCTATACCAGAGGGTCCAGAACAGAGCTGAAGGGTTCTCTCCCCGATCCCCCAGTGTAGGCTGATAAGGCAGTGTAGTAGAGTAGCAATGAACATGATCTCCCTGGGTCCAAATTCTGACTACTTACTTGGGCAATTAATCTAATTTTTATGTCCCTCATTTTCTTTATCTGAGAAATGGGGGCAATAAGATCGCTTTTGTTGTAGGGTTGTTAGGATTTAATGGACCAATATATGTAAAGTACTAGAATGATGCTTCCCGTATAATAAGTGCCTTATAAATAATTATGCTTAACCAAGAGCTTGTGAAGCCTGGTTGCTATTTCTTCTCCTAGCTGTTCCCTTCTGGGTCCCTCATTGCTAAGTGGATTGGAAGGCAGTTTGTTTTTTAACAGAAAGACTAGAAGGACTTCCCACCTTGCCACCCCCCTCTAAGGCCTCAACCCTTCCTCTGCCCTCAACTCTTTCTCTTTTTTCTCTGCAGGTCACAATCACCCTCCCCCCGGTACTGTGAGACCTGCGATGCCCACTTCCAAGACTCTAACCATTGTACATCCACTGCTCACCTGCTGTCACTGTCCCGCGATCTCAGGTCCCCCAACCTGCCCCTTGGGGTGCCCACCTCCAGCCCAGGCTTCAAGCTGCTGCTGAGGGGAGGCTGGGAGCCTGGAATGGGGCTGGGACCCCGGGGTGAGGGCCGCACCAACCCCATCCCCACTGTCCTCAAGAGGGACCAAGAAGGACTAGGCTACAGATCAGTGCCCCAACCCCGAGTCACACACTTCCTGGCTCGGGATACTCGGGCTGTGGCTGGGAGGGAGAGAACCCCTCGGGTGACCACACTGAGCCGCAGGGAGGAAAGAAAGCAGAAGGAGAAGGACAGGGCCTGGGAGCGGGACCTAAGGACATACATGAACCTTGAGTTGTGACCTTGGTAAGGTCTGATCATGGTCTATTGCTAAGTCTGAACTTGGACATACGCACTTTGGCTTTTACTTCCTGGGGTCTGCCCAGTTTCTAGATCCTCAGGTTTTGTTTAGTGGGCTCTGCCTTTGGGAGAGAGGGGCTGAGCATTGAAAAATAAATCAATCTTCTCCCTCTTTTGTGTTTTATTCACTTTTCTGGAAGCTATTGTGGGAAAACCAAACAAGGCTAGGGGCCACACGCAAGTCCCACCTCAGCCAGGTGGCATAATAGGGTCACCTCCTTGCCAGTCTGGTTTGCTTCCACGTCCTAGCTCCTGCCTGGAATGCCCCACCTATTCTTTGAATCCCCTGAACCAGGAATGGCCCAAGTTCTATGCAAGTCTCACCTACCCCAGGAAGGATCTCCTGACTACTCTAGCCAATTCAATCATTGTTTTTATTCAATCACTGATTTTAAACAAGTTCGTATACTACGTGCTAAGAAGAGTAATAAAAAAAAATTCCCAACCTTCTAATTGCTCATAGAGGAGGAGGTGGCTATGTGATCAATATAAAATGCATGGTGTTAGGGGAAACCTGGGAAGGCTGACAGAGGTCATGAGAGTAGGTAGGATCTTGCAGGAAGAGGCCAATGGGTGGGAGGGCCTAGGAATATACATCCTCTACTATGTTAGCTAACCTAGAGCCAGAACTCTGGCCTCCCAAATGTAACCTTTAAGTCAAGGTTCTTCATTTTACTATCTGAAAACTGAGGGCAAGCAGCACATTCTGTTTGTCTGCACTTGTCTTTCCCTCCCTCTTCCCCCTCCTTCCCGCTGCTCATGCCAGGTGCCAGGCACATGGAGAGCTCACTGTTGTCAGATCCAGGAAGTAAAATCTGCGTAGAACGGCAGGGAAGAGCTACACGAGTCCCAGAAAAGCACCTTTCTTTTTCGGAAAACCCTTCCATGAAGTCCTGGACATGAGAAGGAGTGGTGGTGGTGGGGGGTGTTGCAGGGAAGAACCAAAGGGCAGGAGACTAAAGGGAGCGGGCGAGTTTAGGGGAGCACCTGTGGGCGACGAAAATGGGGGGCTAGGTTTACACTCAGGCCCTGGCCCTGCCTGATCTCCACTCGCGCCCTGCGGAGTGGCGCGTACTAAAGGCGCGGGGGCGCGGGGGGCGGTGGATCCGCAGGGTCCGCCCCGCGAGCTTCGGGCTCCGCCCCCGTCTGTCCCTCCAGCCCCGGTGCAGCTGCTTCCGGGCTCTGCGGCTCCAGAAGGCTTGGTGAGGCCGCGGCCCCGACGCCGGGCCCGGGAGGGGTCGCAGCGCACAGCGCCCGGACGCCTGGATCCCCAGGCAGGCCCGCTCTTGGCCTCGAGACGAGGATCTCCCAAGATATTTCTGGCCTGACCTTGCGGAGGCCGCGTCTCAGCTGCGTGCTCGGGTCCCGGTCGGGCCGCTTTGTAGGATTCATAGGTCTCTAAATCAAAGGAAGAACGCTGCGGAGTGGAATTTGCTCAACACCTCTCTCCTAACCCCCCAATAGGAGACTGCCTATTCTTGAGCTCCCTTAGGTCAGCAGTTCAGGACTCTCCAGATTGGGAGCAGCTGAGAACCCAGGGCCACCTTCCTTCCTTCTTGGATGGAGCACCGCCTCCCCAGTTTCTGGGGCACCTTGGGGCGTGGCCTTGGTGAGTGAAACTTGGGGTGCTGCCTGCAGGAAAGGAAACCCGGAAACGCAGGGAGGTCACCGTGGGGGTGACCCAGGCCTTGTCAGATCCTGAGATTCTTGTTCTGAATCTTGTGTGGTGGGGTGGTGGGGGGGGTGGTGGTGAATGAATTGGGATGTGCCTCTCTTCTTTACCTCAGAACTGAAAAGGAAACAAGCTGCTTGTCACACTTGAAGCTGCACGACCATTCAGGAAAGTGTGGAGCCACTTCTGATTTCAGAGTAGGAATCACCAAAAAGATAACAGTTCTTCTGAGCTTGAACAGATCCTGGCTTTTGAGGAGACACTCAGCCCCTAAACCTGAGAATCTAAGCAGTGCTAGGAAGCAGCCGGAGAATTTGGGGGCTCATTACACATCCCAGCCATGTTCCTGCGACGACTTAGTGGCTGGCTACCTCGCCCCTGGGGCCGCCGGAAACCAATGAAACCTGACCTGCCTGCCCCAGAACCCAGACCAGTGGACAGCTCCTCTGAGAATTCAGGGAGTGACTGGGATAGTGCCCCAGAAACCATGGGAGATGTGGGGCCTCCCAAGGCCAAAGACCCAGGGGTACGGAGGAGCTGTGGGGCTGCTCCACAGCCAAGCAGGGAGTCCCAAGATGAGCAACTGGGAAGCAAAAGAATGGATTCCCTCAAGTGGGACAAGACTATCTCTAACACTCAAGAGTCTGGGAGACTGGAGACTGGAGGGACCATTCCCAAACTTGGACGGGATCCTGTGGACTCAAGTGGCACCAGGAGATCTGGAGTGTCCCCTGAAGGGGGACTGAGCCCCACCAGGCCTGAAGCCCCAGTGGAGAAGCCAGGGCAGCATCAGAAACTGCTGGGCTGGCTACGGGGGGATCCAGATGGGGGAGCAGGGGCTCCCTTGCAGTACCTGGGGGGCCCAGAGGAGTGTCTGCAGATCTCAACCAACTTGACTCTGCACCTGCTGGAGCTGCTGGCCTCAGCACTGCTGGGGCTGTGCTCAAGGCCTCTGAGGGCAGCTTTGGACGCGTTGGGCCTGCGTGGACCCGTGGGCCTCTGGCTGCATGGGCTGCTGTGCTTCCTGGCTGCCCTGCATGGGCTCCATGCTGTGTTGAGCCTACTTACTGCTCACCCCCTGCACTTTGCCTGCCTCTTTGGTCTCCTACAGGCCCTAGTGCTGGCTGTCAGCCTCCGGGAGCCCAGTGGGGATGAGGAGGCCACTGACTTGGAGGGTGAGAAGTTGGAGAGGGAGGGTGAGGAGTGGAGGGGAGATCCGGGAAAGGGGCTGTGACTGCGGGATAGGGGGTGACCGTAGTGCCCCCACCCTGAGTGGGGTGGGAGCAAGGGTGAAGATAGTGTGGCCTTTAGGAGGAGAGCGGGGGTCATGACCCAGATTGTAAGCACAGGGACCTCAGGGATGGGGAATAAACCCCAGGGTATGAGGGCACAGGGCCCCCCCTTCACACACAGGGGAGAATAGAGCTGTTTAGGGTATCTGTTTATGGACAATGGGGATATTGCCCTTGAATTCACCAGCTGTTGTTACTTTTTGCTTTTACGTTTCCCCCACTTTCGTTTTTTTTCTTTCCACCTCTACTTTTTAAAAGAAAAAAAAAAGTGTGGTGGTGACAAATAAAGACTAAAGGGTCCTCTTTACCTTTCAAAACTACCCAGGGCTGGAGGAGACCAGAGGCAGGACAGACAGACCTCTGACTAGGGTTAGAGGGTGGTTGGAGCCCCAAGGGATCCCCTTAGATCTTGGGATCTGAGCCATCTAGAGGAGAATGGGACTGTTCTGTGGGTGGATTAGGGGGTGTGGATAGGGACCCCAGGTGACAGGGAGCCTGCAGGGAGGGTCTGGGTGTTCTCAGGAGCCAGGGGAAGTGGGAATGGTGCAGGCAGTATTGGAAGGAGGGCCAGTTCAGTGGGACTGGCAGCTCAGACAGGCAGTATGGGGAAGCATTGGAGCTTGCAGTCTCCACTCTGGGGTTAGGGGTTTGCACACTCAGCAATAAATAACTGTGTCACACCAAATCCTAAATATATCACTACAAAGTGAGACATACCGCCACTCAGTGTCCTTCCTGACGCCGTCCAGCTGGGGGTTTAGGTGGCAGAAGACCCAGGGGGAGTACTGAAATGGAGGTAGTGGGATTGGTGTCTGGAGACAAACCCAAAATGAGATGAGGATTGAAAAACCATCTTTATTACTCTTGAAAGGGAGCTGGGAGTCTCCAGCTTCTCCCTGCAGCACAACTGCAGCTCCCACCATATCCATCTGGGGCACAGATGAAGCCACAGGTCAGTCACTGGACAGCGCACAGGCCTCTGGTGGGAGGAGGGAGAAAAGAGGATGAAAAGGAAGGAAATCCAGGAAGAAAGGCAACACTGGTGGTAACAGGGTAGAGGAGAATGCATTCCTGCTTTTCCCCACATCTAAGAAGGGGTCTCTGAGGCCTCTCCCCCTACATCTCTGCCCCTCTGCCCCATTTATACACCACAAACTCTGAAACCTCTCTTTTGAGTAGCCCAGAGCCCATCCTGGCTCCCTTGGGTGACATCATAGCTCTTGGCCACATCCTTCTGATGCCATCACAGCCTATGACACAAACGGAGGTGTCAACACCGCCATTCTAATGATGTCAGCCTTTGGCCATGTCCTCTGGTGACATCACTTGAGTCCCTTTCATCTGGCACAGAAGACTTGGTGAGTCCTAGTCCTCTTCTGTGGGACTTTACCCCCTCACCTTGATTCCTGGGAGTCAGTAAGAAGGCTTTGGAGTCCAAACAGGAGGTCAGGGACTGAAATTCCTCCACACACTTCTCAGGAGGGTGTGGTGAGCGATCTGGAAGAGCAAGGCAGAACCAGGCAGGCCTATCAAAGTCCCTGCTTCTTAGCACCACCCTGGTGAGGACCTCATGGAGGCACCCAGCCCTTCCTGGGATGATACCATAGGACCCAGAGTGAGAGGCTCCTGCCCTCCAAGTGTTTCCTCCAACCCTTCCTGCCTGGCATCTCCACTCACTGTAGAGGAGGAAGCGCTGATAACCCTGGCCTGACTCTTTCAGCATGATTCCACCCGGGCATGAGCTGGAGAAGAGCTTGGTCTTCATGTCTGGGCGCCCTGTTTGGGGCGGGGAGGTGGGGAGAGTGTCAGGGCAGAGATGCAAAACCAAGCAAGCCCAGGGGACTTGGGGAGCATGAGGGCTGGAGAGAACCAACCTTCAGTTCTGAGATCTGTGCTCCCCTCAGTCAGGTGGTAGATCCATTTCCGGGGCACACAGAGCCCATTTTTCCTGCAGAAGTGGTGACAAGGAGGAAGGGCTGAGTGGCACCCCAACCACACAATACCAACCTCTATTTATCTTACTTCTTTTTGAAGCCTGGATCCCCTTGGTAGTATCAAGCTACCAAGGTATGGTTGGTTAGGCCCATCTCTCTTCAGAAGGAAACTAATAGAACTGTTGACTCAGTGGGCCAAGAATAGCAGATACCCCAAAGAGCCGAGTTCTTTGTGGGTGGGTGCTCATATTTTGAACAGAGACTGCACCTACTGGTGCCTCTGCCTCCTCACCACTCACGTGCGGATGGTAGCACGAAGCTGGAGCTGTGTGGGGGCAGAGCCTGAAGCCATGTTGAAAACAATGTTGTCCACAGGGTCAAAAGTCGCCAATTCCTCCTTGGTGGGAGCTGCCCCTGCGATAAAGTACCACCGGCCCAGGTGTGGCTCTGGGAACTGCAGAGAACCAGGTGGGGGGGAGGGGATCAGAAAAGGGTGGGTCCCCACTACAAGATCCATTCAACCTCTTCATCATCACTCTTAAGACAGCAAGACTTAGGAGTGGAGTGGTGGCTGTTTTTTTCCAGCTAAGGTTTGGGTTATGACAGGGAGCCATTAAGTGAGTTTTCCTTTGTCTCCTCTCAATCACCTTGAGTAACCACCCGCCCCCAATTCTACCATGTCTCCACATTGATGGCCATACTACTATTTTTTTTTACTTGTTCTTGCATTCATTGTCACAAACACACACGCCCTTTCTCCCTTTCCCAGTGTGGCTTCCGGTCACTCAAGGCCACCCACCCAAATCCTTCAGAGCCCCCACCATAAGCTCCCCCCATTCGCAGTCCATACCTCTTTCCCATCCACTCCCTGAGTTGTCAGTTGACTGAACTCAGGGCACTGGTAGATGGAGTTAAGGAGAATACCATAGAGGTAGAATAGAGCTGCCCATATTTGGTAGAACATCTTCAGGCAGGAGGGAGCTGGTGCTCTTCGTGAAGTGGCGGTGCCTTAACTGCTCTCTCCCCCTGCTAGTTACTCAGTCCACTCGGCTTCCAGCCCCCTTGCCTTGACCCTTGACCCTTTCACCTGCTAATGAGTAACTTCAACCTTGTTTTCCAACCCAAGCCTGGATTACTTACAGTGTTTGGGCCTTCCTCCCCCTCTTCTAGATGCCGGTACTCCAGAATACACCCTGACATGTCCAAGGGTCTCTCAAGAATTAGGAAAGCTGAGCCCTCTTAAGTAGAAGCCTATGGCCTTTCAACTTATATCTGAGCTGGGTTTCTGCTGTGTTGTGCAGCACTGAAGAGAGGTGGACTGATTCGTTCATTCACTTAGCAAACTGTTTTGAGTCCCAGCTGTTTGTCAGCTAAGCCCTAGGGACATAAAAATGAATTACATAGTCCCTGGCCTTGAAGCAGTAAAAGGAAAACTAGCTCTGTAAACAAAAATCATTGCAATACAACCTGGTAAGTTCTTTAGAACAGGTATGAAATAGGCGCTGGGGCCTGGTGGATGGAAAACTTTCCCTCTGAAGCTTATAATTGGGGAAACAATATGTACACCCCTGAGAAAGTTCACGGACATGAGTCTATTTGCTCAACATTTATTACTACAAGAGGCTACATAATGTAACGGTTAGAGGATAGGTACTGATGTTAGACAGAGAGGGTGCAAACCCTAACTCCACTATTTGTTAGATCTTGGACAATTTTATGAATCTCTATGTCTGTTTTTTATTTGTAAAATGACCAAATCATCAACCTGCTAGGATTAAAAGAGACAATGCACATAAAGTCCTTAACAAAGGCCTGCACATAGTTAAGTCCAAAGTAAATATTCGCTATAACTAATGCTTGTAAAAGCACTTACTAGTTTCTGGTGGTTTTTAGGTTCTCAAATAATAGTAAGGAGAGCCAAGTGGGTGGAGCAGTTAATGCAATGAAAGATGGCTTCCTTAATAGATTATGTATAACCCACAGACTGCCAAAAAATTTGTTCTGAGAAGTGAGGTTGCTATGCGCTTGCGATTTAATTAAAAGAACAAAATTTGGGTGATGGGTATATGAGGGCTCATTATTACTATTTACAGGTAATGTTTGTTACTTCTTATCATAAAAAACAAATACATGTTAAATACAACAACTTATTGGTAGAAGTGCTCTACCCGGGGTCTGGTAGGTCTGGATTTGTCAGTTCTGCCACTTACTTTCGCCTACGTATATTCATCTATAAATTGTAAGTAGTAACTATCCTAGGTGTTGAAAGGCTTTTAAGGACAGTACGCAAAACCCTTAGTAAAGTGGCTGACACAAACCAAGAGCTCTCTAAACAGGTGTTTATTAGAACTCTTAACTGAAATGGTCCTTGGGACCTGGGTAGAAACTACGAATCCCAGAAAGGCTATGGACACCGCAGGCAGGCACACCGGCAGCAACCGGCCTGGCTGGGAAAGTTGCAGCGCCAGGGGGCCAAGGCCCTGGCCCGAGGGCAGCGGGTGGGCTGGAGGGCTTAGGCAGCGAACACCGTCCCGCCTGCCCGCGGACCCGGGGCTTGCGGAAGCCCTTCAACACCCCCTTCAAAACCCCAGGGTCAGATTCTTGTGTTTCGGTCCAATCTGAGTCCACTTGCTCCTAATTCCCAAACTCTGAGGTCCCCTTTTTGACGAAAGTCCTAAAAAACAGTAAATCCTAGTTTCTCCAAAACATGGCGCGTCCCCCTGGCCACACATCGCCGGCGAGGAACATGGCGCCCACAGCCCGCCAAACGCCCACCGAGCAGAACCGAGGTCAGCCCCAACGACGCGACGGCACGCCCAGCTCGCGAACCACCTCCAACCGTCTAAGGAAAAGATGACTTCCGGAGGCGCCGAAGGAGTAGAGCCTCGAGGGCCAGAGTGACAAGACAGAATTTTAGGAGGCCAGGACAGTGCCGCCTTAAATTCTCTGCCGGCCACGACTTTAATAACATGGATTGATGAGGCGCAATCCCTAGTCCCCAAACTCCAAGTTGCATACAACTGTCCAAAGCTTCTCGAGGCGTAGAGTCTCATCTAGTAATTTTTTTCAGGCATTTATAGTAGCCACCTCAACCTCCCACAGCTCAAGCGCGTGCACAGAAGAAATGAACAGCGTCAGCGGGGGTGGGCGGTGCCTAAGAGTGTACGCATGCGTAGAGCGACGCACGCAGGCGCAGTACGGTCCCCCGGGCGACGGTGGCCGAGGCTCCTCGGGGTGCTCGGCTCCCTCCCATCCAGGCCGGCCCCGGCCCGTCTCGCCCCAAGGAACTCACTGTTGGGGGCCGCGAACTTCCTCATCGTGCCCCACAAAAGTAAATCTTGGGGACCTGGGGGAGCCGGAAGTACCGCCTTGCGATCCCCAAATACTATCGGGGAAACGGAAGTGGCCATCGGTGGCAAGTTGGGGGAGACCGGAAGTGACGGTACCTTGGGGAAGTCGGGGGCGGAGTCCGGGGTGGTGGTAGTGTGTGTGGGGGTGTGTGTGGGGGGGTGTGTTTGGTGTGTGTTGGTTCCGGCGCTCTGCTGGAGCGTCGAGGGAAGGTGGAAGAGGGGGGCAGTCAGCTAGCCAGTCTGGCCCCCCGTGAGTGTCCGTCATCTCGGGTCTGTCGTGACTTAGGCGGGTTCGATGGGCGTGGCGCGCGTGCGCGAAACCACTGTCTCCGCGGAGTCTGGCGCGACCCCCCCCCCCCCAGCTCTCGCGTGTCCCCCAGGGTTTGCCGAACTTTGGGGCCTTTGTCGTATCGCGACTGATGATGACACTGGTCTCCTTATCTTTCCTGCTTCCTAGCCTGAGTGGCCTTCCCTTATTGTGATTGGCACTGTGGAGCCCCTCCCATCTCCCCGTCTTCCAGCTCTCTGTGCCGTCGATCTTCTGCCCTTTGTGTTTCTCTCCCTGTGCCCCGGAATCAGAAGGGGGATGGGGGCGGGTGTGTGTGTGTGTGTGCTTGTGTGGGAGAAACTCTTTAGGTATTAGGGCGGAGACTCAGGCTGGGAAGGCTTCCGGGTGTATAAAATCTGCTTTGGGCGACAGCAGGCCTCCCTCCCTCCATTCTTCCTTAGAGAGCTGTCGGCCATGGAGCCCAGTGATACTACCAGTACCACTACCAGTATGGAGGAGCCTGACAGCCTGGAGGTGCTGGTGAAGACCTTGGACTCTCAGACTCGGACCTTTATTGTGGGGGCCCAGGTGAGACCCCAGTATTTCTGGAAGACCCCCATTCACCCTTCCTCTTGTAGTCCCCTTATTCTGAGAGAAGAGCCTGGTTTTTTTGCGGGGGCGTCCTCAAATCTTCTTTCATCGGTTCCTTTGTTCATGTTCTAGACAGGATACTTTCTGGTGTTGCTTGTTGAGTGGGAAGGTATGGATGAGGCAGATTTCATTCTGCCTTTTTCCACTGTGATAGAACTCATGCAGAGGGAAATATGGAGGAAGGGGGAAATCTATGCCATCATCATGAGGGAACCCCAGCCCAAAGGGACAGACCTAGCTCTTGCTTTTGGGAAGGGAAACAGAATGGAGATCCAAAACACAAGTCTTAAAAGCAAAAATTGGTCAAGTCTGTACTCTGTTTTTAAAGGCTGGAAATCAGAGCCCATAGTGCAGGTAGAGCCCTAATAGGCTATTGAGTGGATTTTCTAGTATTTGTGGCATAATTTGAGTCTTGATTGTAATGCCACAGACACAGCTGTTTATGCCATTAATTCCTCTAATACTTGGAGAGAAAATCATGAGGTCTGTAGTTTTTAAAACACATACAAGAAGACCATGTAGACTTTTGTGATTAGATGTATGTAAACATTCTGGTACGTCCCAAGAGTATGTTGTCCAGTTAGGAAAGTGTTTGCTCTTTTCTCTTTTTGTACTTAGTTTTCTGGCTTGATTTTTCCACCCCAGCTTCCTTATCATTGCGTTTATTTTGGAGATTGCAGAGTTGTATCATTTTGTGTTTGGGGAGGGGTCATTGGTATCTTTAGACACACATTCCTTTGGGAGCCAGGGAGAGAAGTGAAGGTCAGTTAGCTTTTCTGTATCCAGCCATGTGATTTTTTTCTGGGCATATAACCTGAACTTTGTTAACATTTATTGTCTGTTTTGACAGGTGTTAACACGTCTTAGTTTGGGGCTTTGCACAATAATTACCTCACAATCAAGACAAATGGGTAGTGATTTTATGATTGGGTGATTTTTACCCCTCATGCCCAAAAGTCAGTTGTCCGCCTTCTGTCCTTTCCCTTTCCTACATTAGATGATAGTTTTTTATTTCTGTTACCTTGCAGATGAATGTAAAGGAATTTAAGGAGCACATCGCTGCCTCTGTCAGCATTCCCTCTGAGAAACAACGGCTCATCTATCAGGGACGAGTTCTGCAGGATGATAAGAAGCTCCAGGAATACAGTAAGAGTTTGGGGGAGGCAGTTTAGAGGTTGAGGCAGCTGTCTAGAGGGATGAACTGAGGCCTTGAGCTTACCTGATCATATAATGCTTTGGTTTGTATCTTTTTTTTTTTTCCTGCAGATGTTGGGGGAAAGGTTATTCACCTGGTGGAACGGGCTCCTCCTCAGACGCAGCTGCCTTCTGGGGCATCTTCTGGGATAGGGTCTGCCTCAGCCACCCATGGTGGGGGACCCCCGCCTGGTACTCGGGGGCCTGGGGCCTCTGTTCATGACCGGAATGCCAACAGCTATGTCATGGTTGGAACCTTCAATCTTCCTGTAAGCTTGTGTTCCACATAGGATGGTTTTTGTGGGAAGGGTGGTTTGGTTGTGGTAATGGCAGAGAGCTTATAAGACAGGTATCTTGGTCTTTAGATTGGGTTTCCAGGGCCCTGAGGTCTGATATGACCTCAGTCTTTGAGAAAAAGAGTGGGGCTCTAGAGAATGAGTTGAAGGTGTGGGGGCCTTAGTATTTGGCTTCTCCCAGAGCAACTTCCCTTACCCTTTTCTC